AGAAGTGTATACAATTATGCAGGTATGTCTCTAATATCCTTAAGTTGGAGACAACTCTAGTGCTCCTCTCTGTGCTGCTCTTTTTTTTTTTTTTTTTTTTTGAGACAGAGTCTCACTCTGTTGCCCAGACTAGAGTGAGTGCCGTGGCATCAGCCTAGCTCACAGCAACCTCAAACTCCTGGGCTCAAGCAATCCTGCTGCCTCAGCCTCCCGAGTAGCTGGGACTACATGCCCGGCTAATCTCTGTGCTTATTTAATGGTATTGAAATGTGGGAGGGGAGTGTTTAGAAAGTGTGATCAGTCCTCACTTTGAGATAGGTTACACTTTTCCCCCCCAGAAAAAAAATTTTAAAGCCCAGCATGACCTGTTCCCATCATCTTCTCTCCCCCCCCGCCCCTCTCACTCTGTCCCTGGCTCACTCCTCACTCTGTTCCAGCAACACTGGCCTCCTCACCATTTCTCAGGGTTTTTTTTTTTTTTTTTTTTTTTTTTTTTTTTTTACAGTGATATTTTATTCTGTATATTTCTCAGGGTTTTTGCATAGATTGGTTCTCCTCCACAGGGAGCTCTCTTCTCCCAGACATTCTCATAGCTTTTTTTTTTCCTCTACCTAAACATCACCTCCGGCTAGCTTTCCTTGACTGTTGGTCTAAAGTAGCATCCAACTCGCCACCTCACCCCCTTGGTTTTATTTTCTTCTCTTTTGCATTTATGGATTTCTGAAATGATCCACTGTATCCATTTATCTTTGTTTTCTCCACCAGATCTTACAGCGCAAAAAGCTGAGTCGCGTCCTCCCTTGCCCACCACTGTATCCCAGTGTTCCCTAACTGAATGGATCTTCACCGCAGTCAGGAATGTCAGGATTTGTATCAACCTGATTTCACACAGTGGGAAACTGAGAGGAAACTTGGGGTCAGAGAGGTGGAGCCTCCCCCCATAACCTGCAGGTGTTCCAAGAATGTCTATGGCCTGGATGTGTGCCCTGAAATTCTGTCGGAGGAACCCATGTGTCTCTGGCACAGTTGGGCAAGCCGAGGTGTGTGTTGACTGAGAGTGGGGACTTCTGTCCATACTGCCTTGGGGACACTATGAGTGTGTATGGGGGGAGCTGGTTAATAAAAGAGCCTATGGAAGGTTGTAGGCTCTTAATTTAGCTGGGGGGAGGGGACCCTCTCATTCCCCTTCTGCTCATGCCCCCCCACCCCAAGCCTGGCCTCTGCGTGGTCAGGCATGGGAACCCTAGTGGCTGGGCAACACGGAAGGAATAGGAGTGACACGCTTCTAAGATCCATTCACAGCCCTGAAGATACTGCAAATTCCCCAATTCACGTGCTTCTCCCCCCTTCCCCTCCTCTCTCCTCTCCTTCCCTCCTCACCACCAGATCTTCCTTGATGATCCCTGCAACCCCCTCCCAGGTCTTGGGGAGCCAGGGCCCAGCTTTTGCCACCAGAAGCCTCCAGCCAATGGCTGTACTGCCTGATGAGGTAATGAACCCCTTTCCAGGTCCCTTAGCTGTCCTGGAGCCTGTTCCCTTGTGGCCCCCAGGAAGCGGAAACTACATGGGGCTCCGGTGGGGATCCAGCATCCTCCAAGGTGCTAGCCAGCCCAGGGCCCAGAGTGGCACCTGGGCACCTGTGCCTGCCCCTACCCTACTTACTGTAGGACCCCAACCTGCCCCTGTCCCTCTTTGTGCTCAGGTACTAGCAAAGAGTGGCGGGGCTGGACCTAGAGACCCAGCCCGCTACCTCCTTCTTTTAGGGACATCCTAATCCTCCAGTGTGCAGAAAGGACCAAAGACATCCTCACACTGCCAGCAAAGACCCTCAAGCTGCTCATTCCAGACAATTTCATGTATTGAGCACCCACTGTGTGCCAGCCTATGAGCCACTGGGGATACAGGGGTGGTGAAATCAGACCTGGGTCCCTGCCTTCACAGGCTGACAGAATAATGGGGAAGAGAGGAAGAAAGGGAGGGAAGGAAGGAAGACAAAGAAACAAAGGAAAGAAAGTAAAGTTTATTTTGATTAGCTACCTGACATGTCATATTTCTTCTCCTTTTTATTAAAAATTCAAGACTATAGAAACATTGAAAGAATATAGAAATAATTTTGTCCTTGATCTAGAACTGTTCTGGTTTGTTGTAAAATTAAACAAAAAGAAAAGCTCTAGAACCAACTGTTGGCATTTGCCACATTGGCTCTCTTCACACACACACACACACACACACACACACACACACACACACAATGTGAGTGTGTGTGTGTATAATGCTGAGGTTTGGGGGGGAAAGGGGCTGGACTATATGTAAGTAAGTTTCAGATATAACAATCCACTGTACATTAGCATATTTCTCCTGAGAACAAGGACCTTCTCTTCATAATTGAAATACACTTATCCTGGCCAGGCATGGTGGCTCACGTCTGTAAATCCTAGCACTCTGGGAGGCTGAGGCGGGAGAATTGCTTGAGGCCAGGAGTTCAAGACCAGCCTGAGCAAGAGCAAAACCCCTGTGTCCACAAAAATAGAAAGAAATTGGCTGGGTGTGGTGGCTCAGGCCTGTAATCCTAGCACTTTGGGAGGTGGAGGAGGAGGATCGCTCAAGGTCAGGAGTTCCAAACCAGCCTGAGCAAGAGTGAGACCCCATCTCTACTAAAAATAGAAAGAAACTAATTGGCCAACTAAAAATATATAGAAAAAATTAGCCGAGCATGGTGGAGCATGCCTGTAGTCCCAGCTACTCAGGAGGCTGAGGCAGAAAGGATCCCTTGAGCCCAAGAGTTTGAGGTTGCTGTGAGCTAGGCTGATGCCCTGGCACTCTAGCAATGGAATGAGACTCTGTCTCAAAAAAAAAAAAAAAAAAAAGAAAGAAAGAAATACCCTTATCCCACTCTAGAAGTCTTTTAAACATTAAAGAAACAGTACTTTGCAGTATAAGGCATATTAAAATTTCCTCCATTGTCCTGAAATGTACCCCACTACTTTGAGTCAGGATTATTTGAATCATGCACACAGCATTTTTTTTTTTTTTGAGACAGTCTTGCTCTGTTGCTCGGGCTAGAGTGCAGTCGTGTCATCATAGCTCACTACATCCTCAAACTCCTGGGCTCAGGTGATCCTCCTGCCTCAGTTTCTGAAGTAGCTGAGACTACAGGCACCTGCCACAATGCCACCTAATTTTTCTATTTTTAGTAGAGATGGGACTTGCTCTTGCTCAAGCTGGTTTATAACTCCTGAGCTCAAGGGATCCTTCCGCCCTGGCCTCCAGAGTGATAGGATTACAGGCGTGAGCCTCCTTGTCTGGCCCCCACAGCATTTTTAGTCAATTAGACAAAAATTCCTCCAATTTTTTGTTTTCATGACATTGACAAACCAGAAGTCTATTTGTCCTCTTATTGGTGATGCTAACTTTTGCTTTTGGTTAAGGTGTAAAGGAAAGTTTTCTCCCTCTGTAATTCATAATCTGTGGGCTGGGACATCCAGACCTTGTGAATGCATAGTTCCCCAAATAACCTTCATCTGATAGGTTTTTGTTTTTGTTTTTGTTTTTTTTTGCTTCATTGCTGAGGCTAGGGTGCCACTACGCACTAGGGCTGCCTCAGCTACAGCTCACAGCAACCTCAGACTCTTGGCTCAAGCGATCCTACTGCCTCAGCCTCCTGAGTAGCTGGGACTACAGGCATGTGCCACCATGCCCGGCTAATTTTTTCTGTATATTTTTAGTTGTCCAGCTAATTTCTCCCTATTTTTAGTAGAGACGTGGGTCTCACTCTTGCTCAGGCTGGTCTCAAACTCCTGAGCTCAAGCCACTCCTCCCTCCACTGCCTCCCAGAGTGTTAGGATTACAGCGCGCGACAGCCACCACAAGCCCCTGTGATAGTTTCTAGCCATGGATGATCATTTCCAAATTGACTACACTGGCTGTGAAAGAACCCACATTTTCTGATTGAATGTGAAGAGGCCTGCCTCAAGAAGCCATCATAATAAGCCAGCTGAGGGGATATTAGATGTTTACCTACCAGAACTCGGCTTGGAAAGCCAGCTTCATCTCCATCTGTAAAGCCACAAAACATTGAAATCACACCCTCATGGAGTGAATCCAGTGCATCGCTTCGAGCAATGTATATTAAAAATGAACAAACCAAATTTATTGTACTTAGGGCGCAAGCCAGAAGCCTGCACCCATTTGAGAGTGGCTAGGCAGAGCACACGTGAGCTTTGAAATCCGGTCAGTTCAAAGCTCCAGAGCCAGGGCGCTTTGATGACCGCTAACCGTGGGGGCACTTGAGAGGCCTCGTCTCATCCTTCAAGTAAGATAATGAATATCTGAATTCCAGTTTCTTCTTTATTAAATTGACAAAATTATTCTTTTTTTGATACAGAGTCTCACTCTGTTACCCAGGCTAGAGTGCTGTGGCGTCAGCCTAGCTCACAGCAACCTCAAACTCCTGGGCCCAAGCGATCCTGCTGCCTCAGCCTCCCGAGTAGCGTGGGACTACAGCGCATGCGCCACCATGCCCGGCTAATTTTTTTTTTTTACATATATATATTTTTTAGTTGCCCAGCTAATTTCTTTCTATTTTTTTTTTTTTTTTTTTTTTTAGTAGAGATCGGTCTCCGCTCCCTTGCTCAGGCTCGAACTCCTGAGCTCAAACTATCCTCCCGCCTCGGCCTCCCAGAGTCCTAGGATTACAGGCGCGAGCCACCACGCCCGGCCGACAAATTATTCTTGAGCTCCCCGATGTTGTCCAAGTCGCCCTCAAAGTGAAACCGGCCCTTGGTTCTGCCCCTTTGGCCCGAGGGAGAACTGACCCTCCCTTGGAACGTGTGAAACAAGAAGTCGACCTGGCAGCTTCTGGGTTAGTCCTCGCATTCCTCAAACCTGGATCCCCGATTTTCAGGGTTCAGACCCAACCAGTTGTTTCCCAGAGGGTAAGAGTCGGCAGCGCCCTCCCCTCACCCACTCCCCAGCGGGACTCGTGCCGCAGACACGAGTCAATGCAGGTGGAAACCCTAGTTAACTTGGAGGCAGCTGGGCGCGGGGGCACGCTCTCGGAGGTGGCGCGAAGCCGGGGAGATGGTAGGCCCGGGTGATCCGCGGGGCGAGCGGGGCAGGGCTGGGGCGGGCGGGCGGAGCGGGGCCAACCTGGAATCGGGCCCGGGCCGGGGGCGGGGCCTGGCCGGGGCGGGGCCGTCCAGGTGCTAGACCTCGCGCGCGCTGCGGCCCGGCAGCGCACGGTTAGGCCTCGCTTCCGCTGTAAGGTGTTAGGTTTTGAGGGCCCCGAGAGGGGAACACTCCCGCAGCGTAAGGATATCCCACCGTGGGTGAAAGTTCCCGAAGACCTGAAAGACCCAGCGGTGTTTCAGGTCCAGACGCGGCTGCTGGGAGCCATGTTTGGTGAGCGTGCCCAGACTGGCCTGGGGGCCCCGGCCCCGGCGGGCGTTTCAGTCCCCCGGGCTCGGAGTTCTCATCCCCTTCCCCCAACAGGCCCAGACGGATCTCGCATCCCCTACATCGAACAAGTGAGCAAGGCCATGCTCCAGCTGAAAGCTCTGGAATCCTCGGACCTCACCGAGGTCGCGGTCTATGGCTCCTACTTGTACAAGCTCCGGACCAAGTGGATGCTCCAGTCCATGGCCGAGTGGCACCGCCAGCGGGAGGAGCGAGGTGAGAGGCTCGGGGATGAGGGCCTGTGAACAGAGGCCCGTGGGGGCGGCTTCTCTCCCTCTTCTCCTAGCTTCTTTCACCTCCTCACTGCCTGCAACCACCACCACACCTCGGGCATCCATCCCCAAGGGCGCCCTTTGCGTCTGGGCAGTCTCCAAGACTCCTTTGGGAGTCTGCTGGGGCCTAGGGCGCGGGCCGTTGCTCCTAGGGACCCAGGGGTGAGACCCATTGGGTGGGATTATGTGTGATCTCTCCACCTTCTTCCCGCTCGCCCAGCTTCCTGGAGGATGTTGGAATGGGCCCAGTGGTTCCACGTTCCGAGGTTCCCAGGAATCTCAGGCCCAGAATGCCTGGCTCAGAGGCTCCTAGAAATGAATCCTGAAAGAGGCAGAGAACAGTTGTGGTCTGACCCTCCCCCACCATACTCACCCCGCTGTTGCTCTTTCTGGTGCAGGGATGCTCAAACTTGAGGAAGCCATGAATACCCTCCAACTAGGCCCGTGGATGAAGTGAAGCCCGTTTCCAGACAATGTGTTACTGAGGCCAGGATGTCACAAGATTAGGTTGCAGTCAGAGCTGGAGTGGTTTCAGCTTGATTTAAACTCTGCTCCAGCCTGATGAGTTAAGGAAAAACCATCTGTTTTTTTTTTTTGTCTCTGCCCTGAGTCCTGATGTAGTTGTTAGTTAAAGAATAAAGTTTTAAATAAGTAAATAGCTCCTTGACATTGTGGTTGATGGACTGGAGGTAATACCTTAAATATCTCTCAAGTGCTGCTGAGGTGTGGCTGTTGAGCTTAACCCTTTATTGAAACTCCCCCAAACTGAAAAGAGGGGTCCAAGGGCACACTTGGCTAGGGTGAAAAAGGGTCTAGGAGTCACGACCTGAGATGCACCACTGAACAAAATCCTACAGGTGATGTGATTGATACAGTCTGGAACTGACCTGTACTCTCATTTAAAAACAACCCTATAGGGCTGGGCACGGTGGCTCACGCCTGTAATCCTAGCACTCTGGGAGGCTGAGGCGTGCGGATTGCTCAAGGTCAGGAGTTCAAAACCAGCCTGATCAAGAGTGAGACCCCGTCTCTACCAAAAATAGAAATTAGCTGGACAACTAAAAATATATGAAAAGTAGCCAGGCACGGTGGCTTGTGCCTGTAGTCCCAGCTACTTGGGAGGCTGAGGCAGGAGGATTGCTTGAGCCCAGGAATTTGAAGTTGCTGTGAGCTAGGCTAATAATGCCACAGCACTCTAGCCTGGGCAACAGAGTAAGACTCTGTCTCAAAAAAATAAAAAATAAAAACAATCCTATAATAGATTGATAGAACGTATACAAAATTGGCTGGACGTCGTGGCTCACGCCTATAATAATCCTAGCCGAAGTGGGAGGATCTTTTGAGCTCAGGAGTTTGAGACCAGCCTGAGCAAGAGTGAGAACCCGTCTCTACTAAAAATAGAAATTAGCTGGACAACTAAAAATATATGAAAATTATCCAGGCATGGTGGCTCCTGCCTGTAGTCCCAACTACTCGGGAGGCCGAGGCAGAAGGATTGCTTGAGCCCAGGAGTTTGAGGTTGCTGTGAGCTAGGCTGACGCCACAGCACTCTACCCTGGGCAACAGAGTGAGACTCTGTCTCAAAAAAAAAAAAAAGCAGCAGCATATGTTTTCCAAAACAAAAATATGGAAAGTACCAAGACCCCATGACCTTAGGCAAACTGTTTAACTCCCACAGTTTCCCAGTCTCTGAGGATAACAGCATATGACCCCATATGAAATTATGAGATTAACTGTTAATATATGTAGGCCACTTAAGACAGGCATCATATGTAGTAGCAAGTGTTGACTATTTCTTGGCTATGTTTATCAGTAATGGAAGAGAAAACTAACAGCTATATTCTGCAAGAGACGAATCTGGCATGTCCACCAATCTACTGCTCTCCCGTTTAGCTTTCAGTAAGTGAACAGCACCACCATTTTGGACCAATGGTTCAGGCCAAAAATTAGGAGCCTGCCTTGATGCCTCACCCCCAATGTGAAATCCATGAGGAAGTCCAGTCAATTTGGCCTTTTAACCCCCGCATGAGACCATCCTGCACCTGCTGAATTAAAGAAAGACCTTCTGAGTCCTGATGTGAATATCTTTTTCCAAGCTTGCTAATTAAAGAATGAAGTTTTAAATAAATATAGCTCCTTGACATTGTGGTGCCTTCATGGATTGGAGGTAATACCTTAGGTATCTCCAGTCCCATCCTTTCTTGCTAGGACTCCTGAAAGAGACTCCTAACAGGTCTCGATTTCTTTTGTTCACCTGAGGGCCTGTTCTTTAGCAGGCAGACTTAATTTTTAAAATGTAAATCATATGGCCTCTCCTCCAAAAGGGACCCTACAATTTGCCATCCAATTTAAAAACCGAAACTCCTTTTTGCTGAGCTAGAAGGCCCTGTGGAACCTGACCTCAGCCTAAGGGGAACTCATTTTTTTGCCCTCTGCTCTAGCTTATCCTTATGTTGCCTCCCCAAACTCACTATGTATGCTCCCACTTACAGGCTTTTGTTTTTGCTGGTTTTGGGCCTGCAAATTTCAGATTTTCAAGCGGTTTTGCTCTCTTCTCTCAGGTGGTCTATACTCACCTCTAGGGAAGTCCTCCAGAGTCTCTTCTTATCTGCTTTATTTTTATTCATGGCATTTATAAACTTGACTGATAGTGTTAGCAGCTCATTTTCTTCCTCTCCCCTACTAAAATGTAAACTCCAACAAGGAAGGGATTTTGATTTTTTTTAAAGGGGCAATATGGTATAGAGTGGTTAAGAACAGTGTTACAAGACACACCAACGAGACTGCCTGGGTTTGAATATTGGCTCAGCCACTTTCTAGCTTGGAAATCATGAACATGTTAGCCTTTGTCCTTCAATTCTCCATCTATAAATATGGAGATAATATCTATCTCATGGGGTGGCAGTGAGGTTTAAAAGAATTAAGACTGTCCTAAACCTCTGTGAAGTCTTAGAACAATGTCTGACACAATGGGCATTCAATAAGTAGTTCTTGGCTGGGCGTGGTGGCTCACACCTGTATTCCTAGCACTATGGGAGGCTGAGGTGGGTGGATCGCTCGAGGTCAGGAGTTCAAGACCAGCCTGAGCAAGAGCAACACCCCATCTCTACTAAAAATATAAAGAAATTAATTAGCCAACTAAAAATATATAGAAAAAATTAGCCGGGCATGGTGGCGCATGCCTGTAGTCCCAGCTACTCGGGAGGCTGAGGCAGAAGGATAGCTTGAGCCCAGGAGTATGAGGTTGCTATGAGCTAGACTGATGCCATGGCACTCTAGCCCAGGCAACAAAGTGAGACTCTGTCTCAAAAATAAATAAATAGTTCTTGAATGCATGAATAAGAAGTACTCTTGCTGCAAGGCAGGACTGTAGCTAGACTCCTCCCCTCCCAGGTCTTAGGGAGCAGGGACTCCAACTTCCAGCCCTGTTCTCCTAAGGGTCTCATCATTGAAGACTCAGAGAAAGCCATGAAAGTCCTTTGTAAAGGCACTGTTTTCCTACCCCGTGGAAGTACAGAGCACAGGTGCAGTTTTCTGGGGTCATTAGATTCCACATAACCTGCGGGTCACTGGGAGGACAAAGGTACATTTGGAATGCTGTTGAGGTTTATTTGGAGTGAAGAGCAAGAGACTAGTCATGTACCCTATTGGTGACAACTCTGGCCTGAAGGTCCTAGACTACTCAGCCTGGCACCTGCTCAAGATTTTGGAGGAAAATCAGTCTCACCTTTCCCAAGGAAACAATAATTGTTAAAACACTTCCATCTAAGGATACCCTAAATCACACACACACACACACACACACAAAACACTTCCATCCCTGACTTTGAAGAACTAAACACGGATGCATGCATTTCCTCTGTTTTGGAGTGTTAGGAGGGAAACTTAGCTCTATGTGGTAAGAAGCCACAGATACTAAAAAGGATGGTCTGCCTTACAGAATTGTTCTTCCCAGGCAGGAAGGTCTTAGGGCCTCTCAGTTATTGCTTGCCAGGGCCAGAAGCAGTACCAGGGTCCAAGTGTCCACAGATTGGGAAAAGGCTAATATTGGGCTGAGTTGGGCAGTGGGAAGGTGCATCTCAGTTTCCAGGGACAAGACTGCCCATGGACCCTAGTCACCTTGAGATGGTTCCCAGTAGCTTTGGGCACATTTTGAACAGAATGGCATCGAGCAGGATATTTCTGGAGATGTGTCAACAGTTGCCATATGAGATAGAACAGAAAAGAGAGAATACTGGTTGTTGCTACATTAAAAAACATTTTCTTGGCCAGGCATGGTGGCTCATGCCTATAATCCTAGCACTACGGGGAGCTGAGGTGGGAGGGTCGTTTGAGCTCAGAAGTTCAAGACCAGCCTGAGCAAGAGTGAGACCCTGTCTTTAATAAAAATAGAAAGAAATTAGCTGGACAACTAAAAATATATAGAAAAAATTAGCCAGGCATGGTGGCACATGCCTGGCACATGCCTGTACTTCCAGCTACTCAGGAGGCTGAGGCAGAAGGATCGCTTGAGCCCAGGAGTTTGAGGTTGCTGTGAGGTAGGCTGACATCACGGCACTCTAGCCCAGGCAACAGAGTGAGACTCAAAAAAACCCAAAACAAACATTTTCTTAAATAGCGCACCAATTTAATATTTAAATATTTAAGTTTATTTAAATTTGTTGGTCAATATGGTGGCTCACACCTGTAATCCTGGCACTCTGGGAGGCCAAGGCAGAAGGATTGCTCAAGGTAAGGAGTTCAAAACCAGCCTGAGGAAGAGTGAGACCCTGTCTATACTAAAATTAGAAAGAAATTAATTAGCCAACTAAAAAGTATAAGAAAAATTAGCTGGGCATGGTGGCGCCATGCCTGTAGTCCCAGCTACTTGGGAGGCTGAGGCAGAAGAATTGCTTGAGCTCAGAGGAGTTTGAGTTGCCAATGAGCTAGGCTGAGGCCATGGAATCTAGCCTGTAACAGAGGAGACTCTGTCTCCAAAAAAAAAAAAATTTACTTAAATTTGTTATAAAAAGATACTAGTCACATGGATCAAAATCCTAAAATGATAGACAAATCTTCCTCGTAGCTCATTTTATATTCCTTCATTTCCTACCCCCTAACAATAAAAAGCGTGATATGTGTCCTTTCTAGAGTTGTTTTTTTTTAAATGCAAACCACAAGCAATTATAAATATAGATTATTTTTTTCTTCCTTATTGGTGGTATTGTTCTATTTAACTTCTCTACAAAAGACGTTTGGGTTATTGTGAAACTTTGCTTTACTAAGGTGTCATTGTTAATACATTGGCAAGCCATTGTTTTGATTTTTTTTGTATGTTGTTGCTAGATAGTTGTTTTCAGTAGATTCTGTAGTATTATATTCTAAAAAAATTGCTGTTGTCAAAAGGGAAAAACAATTTTGCTAGTATGACCAATGTTGTCTTCCATAGGTGTTGAAACAACTTCACTCCCAGCAGCAGTGTATGAGAATTGCCTCTTTCCCCCATTGCATAACTGTTTTTGTTGCTGATCTGACAGGTGAAGTCTCCTTGTCTTCCGTAATCTTCAGGCTTGGTTTGCCTGTAGGGACGACTAACAGTTGTGGCAGCCTCAAGTTATCCCCAGGTATGCACCCTTGGAAGAATCTGTTAGTAATGAATG